CCGGCTGCAAGCAAAGGCTCCTGAGCTCAGTCTGAATGCCGGGCCCTCCAGCTGCAGCCCCAAAGGGACGGTCTCTGGGGACTACCGGTGGCTCTCCACAGAGGCACTGACTGCGCTCTGCTCTGTAAACCCAGCGGCTCAATCTGTGTCCCTGGCAGAGCTCCCGAGGGCGGAGCAGCACACCTCACTGTTCCGGGACCCAGTGCAGTGCTTTGCACACAATCACAACTCCATCGGCCTCCCACTTTTCCAGAATGCGAGCTGACTCTGGGCCTTCATCAGAGCTCATCCAATCCCACTGGATGATCGCCTGCAGAACCCACCGAAGTGTGTCCCAGAGCAGCTCGGGCCGCTTACTCTGAGATGGCCGGGAGACAACAGTGATGTGGCAGATGGCCCGGCACACAGTGGTGCTGCACCGGATGACAGTGCTCATGGGTCAGACACTAGAGCTGTACCACAAGGACCCAGCCTCTATTGCCACCTTGAGACAAGGCGACGCCAGAGGACACAAAGCAGGCCGATGACTCCAGAGCAATGGCTGTCACTAAGCCAGCACACAGAGCAGCGGGACACGGTGGGACCCGAAGTCAAGCTGGGCTCACACTCCTCCTCGGGTGACCGCTGCTCTCTCCCCAAATGTACCAGACTCGGTTCTGTTTCAGTAGAACTACACATTAGGGTGGGGAATTAAAGGCCACGGCGGAGCTGAGGGGGGTCCAGGGTCTCTCCAGCCTTATGTTGTTATGATTTGAACCCAACACTGGATGACCCAGAGTATTTTGGAAGAGTCAGCACACTGATGCCGAACAGTTGGCCCGTACTGTCCTGGGAAATCCTGGACAGCTAATCAGAGGCGGCATGGACTAGACAGACTTCAGGAGCACGCTCCTCCAGGGTGCCGAAGGACTTCCTACATTCTTTCTCTTGTTTAGCAACTAAGCAGTTGTTATAATTTCTACTCAGAACCCCTCTGTGTCTTCTTTTCTAAAAGCTTTAGAAAAAGACCCTATGGTCTGTTGGAGGAATGGGGGTTTCCAGCGGGTAGGGCATGGAAGGTCATGACGTAGAGTGCTCAGAAATAAACAGAAGATGGGAGCGGGTCAGAGACACTGGACACCCGGAAAGGGCTCCCACAGCCAGACCTGGGATCATAATCCTCTGAACCAAAGCAGAATTCATCAGTCAATTCAGATAATAGCAAAGAGATAAGAAAACAATAATGAGACCAAAAAGATAAAACCACCTAAATGTCCATCAGTGGATGAGCAGATCTCTGAAAGTATACATCCAATGGAATACTATCCATCCTCATGATGGAAGGAAACCTGGACACAGGCTTCTGCACGGACGAGCCTTGATGATACTACAGCAAGTGCAAAAAGCCACACACAAAGGAATAAATGTAGGCCGGGGATTTAGCTCAGTGGTTCCAGGCCCTGCCTCAAAAGCACAAGGTCCTAAGTTCGATCCCCGGTACCAAAAAAAAAAAAGAGAATAAATGCCAGAGGATAGGGCACTTAGAGCCATCAAATTGACAGAAACAGAAAGCGGAGTGGCAGTTGTCAGGAGCTGGGTGGAGGGAGGGCACCAGAAGTTGGTGTCCAGTGGGGACAGAGCTTCCCTTAGGGAAGGTGGACATGCTCTGGAACTGGATGGTGGTGATAATTCTTAAGAGTTAGTGTACCTGATGCAACTGACCTGGGCACTTAGAATGGTTAGAATTTACATTATGCACATTTTACCATAATAAAGCCAAAAAGAACAGGTATGGTAAAGATCTACCTCTGCTTTCACACCTACAGGTACAAGTCACTCAGCCCTGTGTGACAGTCAAGACGATGCAGAAATCATTTCAAGCAGTGAAATAAGCTAAAAGGTGGTGGAATCTGGTAATTTCAACCCACTTAGAGTCTAATTTGTTTTCTGCACTAGTAATTTAATCGGTGTTTTAGAAAAGTATATAATTTATTTCCAAAGACAAGTCCATAATCTCCTTGTTGCAAATCAGAACTCTAGAAAGCTCTGAAAAAATACTACAGGTCTGGCTCAAAACACACCAGGTGGTAAACTCTGACCTGGATCCACACGGGCCGGAGTACAGCCTGGGGCGTGTTCTCTTCACTCAGCGTGAACATTTCTGTTTGGCTGCACAGAGATGCCCATGCTTGACGCCGTCATCATCTGTGGCTTCCTGTGAGCATCCGCAGCGTATTGTGTCAGCATTCTGCCAAAACGGTCCTGAAAATTCTGAGCTCCAAAACAAACCTGGTCCCAAGACTTCCAAGTAAGGAACTGCAGGTCTCTACAAACCTAACCATATTTCAGATATTAGACCAATATTTCTGAATCTCTTGTCATTCTCGGCCAAATTAACTATTTATCACAGTTTCTCATCACTTGTATTCCCACATTCTCTACCCCAGTACTTTTCCCTTATCCGCAGTTCTGCTTTCTGCAGTTTGTTACCCATAGTCAACTGTGGTCCAAAAATATTAAGTGAAAAATTCCAGAAACAAGAAATTCACCAGTTTCCAATTGCAGTGTTTGTTCCGAGAAGCACAGTGAAATCCCATGCTTTGGCATGGGCGGTGAACCATCCTTGTCTGGGGTCTCCACACTGCAGGTGCCACCCAACTGTGACCCTCAAACAGCCATAGGACTGCAGGGCTTGTGTTTAGGGAACTTTCATTTCACTGAATAATGCCCGTGCTGGTCAATCTCAACAGGCACTTGACTGGATCCAGAGACTCCTGGGTTGACAGCCTAGTGAGTTCATAGCTGATGGGCCCTTGGAAGGTGTGGCCCGGGTGGAAGGAGTAGCTCACGGGGGCAGAACCCTCGGGATTATTTCTGGTCCCTGGCCTCTTTGGCTCCAGCTCTTCGTCTATGCTCTGCTTCCCAGTGCCTTGAAAGGGGCAGCTTTCCTCTGCTACACACTTCCACAATGTACCTGCCTTGAAGCAGGTGACCATAGACTGAAACCTCTGAAATCATGAGCTGAAATAAACCTCTCCTCCTTTATGTTGGGGGTGTTGGGTATTTTGTCCCAGGAGCAGAAAGCTGACCAACACAGGGCCCACGGCATCAGAATAGTGATGCTGGCAATTCAGATGCAAAGGAGAAGCCACCAAGTGCTTCTTTTAGGTAGCATTTCACATCAGCCCAAGAACGTGGATGCAATACAGTATGATACAGTGGTACCTCAGTATATATGCTTGCAATTCTGTTGCAACCAGAATCATGGAACGAAGTCTGGAACCAGAATCATACAAAGAATTAAGTTCATGAACTGAGGCACGGTACTTTGAGACAGACCACATCCACATAATTTTTATTACAGTGTATTGTTATAATTATATTTTTACTGCTGTTAGTCTCTCACTATGCCTAATTTATCCACGAAATGAATATATGGGAAACAGCCTATGAAGGGCTCGGCATTCTCTTACGTTGTGGGGACCCTGGACTCTCCCTGTTGGAGAAGGGTGACCACCCCACTTGCCCTCAGACTGACTCTCCTTTGTCCTTAAGTAACAATGCCTCTAAGAAATGTCTCACTGCACTGTGAAAGCTGACAGTCTAAAGGGACTGCTTTGTTCAGAGCTTCTGAAGGGATAGACAGGTGCTAAAGGCAAAGGAGTATTAAAGAGGCTTCTGCTTGCCTGAGTCATCAGAAAGAGGAACAAAACCCTGAAAAGAAAATAACTGCCCCTCGGTGACTCAGTATCGTCCGTGCTCGGTGGCACACAGCCTCAAGAGCCACCCTCTCCTGAGTGCCTCCCACGCTGCGGGAGCCCGGCCTAGGCCGAGCCGGCATCCCAGCGGGCAGGCCGACTCACCGGGACAGTGAGTCCATCTGGGAGGGAAAAGGGCTGCCCAAGAGCATGGCGTAAGGGTGATGAGGGTGAGTGGCTCTCTCCTTTCTCATCTGTCACCCACCATATGTCCCCTAGATTTAGCTTTACTTGTCTACTTAGCAAGTTCGCACCAAAGTTGTTTGAGTACAACTCTGGGGTAAATCCACAGCCACCACTTGCTAAGATGGTGGGATCTACAATGAACCCAGGCCGACAGACCAAAGGTCACCGACAGGACCCTCCTTCATTAACTTCAACACAAGCTCCCAGATCATGGCCTGAAAATCTGCCAGCAGATTTACTCTAGGGGGAAAATAGGCCAGCTACAAAGCACTGTCAAAGACATAGCAGCTATATACATTTTTAAAAAGTAAAAAAATGAAATAAATTGGGCAGAAGAGGATGATTTTCCTTAGAATGCTGGGCATCAGAAACACTGAGAGTTAGAAATACCCATTTTGCAACCATGACAAAATTAAAGTAATACCTGCGCATTGATTAAAGCAAGTGATCAAAGCTAACATCACTACTGGGGGCAGATGGACACCCTGAGCTTCCAGCTCGGTGGGCGGAGAAGGGGCAGGGTCCCCTGGGCCAGGCAGCAGCCTAAGGATGAAGAGCAACAGCCAGGCAGACGTGCAGGGTAGCCAGCCCGTGTCCCCGGACGTCGGGCCAGACAAAGCAAGACCGCGGACCACTCCACATTACGTAGCTGACCTCAGACTGCACCCTACTCTGGAAAGAGCTGTAGAAGTCACTGGGACAATGGACAGAACTGGAATATGGACGGCAGTGTGGTAAGATAATGAGTCCATGTTAAATTTCCCGATTTTGATCACTACAGGTAAGCAAGCGAGTATCTCTTTTAAGGAAATACGTTTATCCATCAAAGGGTACGGAGGCACAATTTCCCTAACTTGCTCTCAAATGGTCGAGAAAGAAGCCATGTATCTGCAGGTAGCCAGATTGACCAAGGTAGCAGCCGTGACCACAGGGAAAGACAGCTGGGAGGCGTCACACTGCTCTTGCAACTTTTCTGGAAATTTCCAATTAGATCCCAGCAGTGGCCACCCTGTCCATGTGGCTGCCGAGAGCCCGAGAGCCCACACCTGCTGCCCCACTCCGCACCGCGAGACTCACCATCCTCCTGAGGATCCGCAGCAGGAGCTTCTGATCCTTCGGACCCTTGGAGGCCAGCACACGAGCGAAGCTCTCTGTGTTCTCAGGGGACAGGCTGTCTGGGATCTCCGCCCCGTACAGCTGAACCAGGATGGATAGGCACTTGGAGGAGACCTCAAAAACCTCAGGGTCCTCGCCAGGAAGCTGCAAGTCAACAGAGGAGCATTGAAGTTGAAGACCAAGCAGGCCTCCTCCAGATGCAGCAGACCTGGCTAGCGAGGGTGGCAGCAGCCTGGGCAGCCTGACTGCTGACTGCCTGCTGCTTTCTAAAGTTACAGTGCAGCTCGAGTAAGGCCAATGGCACAGTCAGAAGGAGACCCTGCAGCCTCTCCAACCCACAGAAAAGGAGGCCTACCGCCCAGAAGGGGTGTGTGTGTGTGTGTGTGTGTGTGTGTGTGCGCTCACAGGGCCTGTGTCAGTGGTGTGAACAGTCTGACTGCCCACAGGCCGGCTCCATCACTTACGCAGGAAATATCTACCTCCAAGGAGACACTAAGGGACATTCCAGCCGTGTCTACGTCCAAATCATTACTGACTGAGAAATACACCATTGCTTCTCTAGATATTAAAAACTGTAATATAAAATACTAATCAAATTATAAATACACGTTAACCATTTTGTTTTCAAGGTTTTATTTACTGCAATAGTTTTATTGAGATGCAACTTTCCATACCATACAATTTATCCTGAGTATAGAATTCAGTTGTTTTTAGGTGTGCTCACAGTTGTGCAATGCTTTTTTTTGTGCAGAGGACTGAACTTGAGGCTGTGCGATCACCACTGAGCCACACACCTGTCCCCAGTCAGCCCTGCAGCTTCTTACCACCCTTAGAAGAAAGGCTCCCCGCTCCGCAGGCTCCACGCCAGCCCTTTTCAGGGCTAATCTGCTTTCTGTCTCTATGGTTTGCCTATTTTGGAACTGCAGATAAATCAGATCACACAGTGTGACCCTGCTTCTGGCTTCTTTCACTCTGCACCATTTTCAAGGTTCATCCACACTGTGGCGCACACCAGTACTTCCTGTCTCCTTGCCTGATCCTGTGCCAGGGTGTGGGTGCACCCCATTCTGCTCATCAGTTGGTGGGCGTTTGAGAAGTTTTCAGACTGTGGCCATCATGAATAATGTTGCTAGGGAGGCCTGTGCAGCAGCATCTGTGTGGACATACGTGGAGGGGCATAGAATGCAGGTCACACAGGGACTCTATGGCTGACCTCTTAAGAGACTGCCACAGTGTTTTCCAAAGCTGCCACTAGCACAGCAATACAGGACAGTCCCAGTTGCCCACACCCTCATGGACACTTGCTACTGCCTGTCTATTCAATTCCAGCCATCCCAGTGCAAGCGGGGAGAGTGGTTTTCATCCAGACTTCCCCGACGGCTAATGATGGAGAACATCTTTTCACGCATTTAGGGCAACTTGAACATCTTTGGAGAAATATCTGAAAAGATCCCTTGCCCATTTTTTAAGATAAGTCATCTGTCTTTTCATAACTTGGTCCTAAAATATTTTTTTATATATTTTGAATTTGTGTATATATGCACATGTATATGTATTTATAGTATATAATACATAATCATACACAGCAGTACCTCAGTTTACGAACACTTCTGCTGCAAACAATTCAGTTCTCAAACAGAAGCATTTGGCAAAATTTTGTTTCTGTTCTCAAGCTCCTCATTGGGTGGCAAACACAACTGCAGTCATCTTCCCCTGAATCATGGGACGAATTTAGTTCATGAACTGAGATACCACTGTATTTAAAATACACTGTTTCTTAACAGATGAATAATTTAAATTTGTTTTTCATTCTGCAGGTTATCATTTCAATTTCTTGATACTATCCCTTGAAGGATAAAATACTTTAAATTCTAACGAAGTCTAACTTTTTTTATTTGGGGGTGACACATATGAATTTTGCAACATATCTAAGAAACCACTGCCTGCTCCAAGGTCCTGAAGACTTAGGCCTATGCTTTCTTCTAAGAATGATATAATTTTAGCTCTAACACTGACACTGAGCCTCCATTTGGAATTAACTGTGGATGTGGTATGAGTAGAAGTACATGTGAATTTTGCATGTGAATTAGTCCTGCAATAAAGATTCCATATGGACAGCACCCAGTTTCCCCAGGTGAAACATCTTGTATAACAACTACAGAGCAGTTGCACAACCAGGAGGTTAGCCCTGGTGCAACCATCAACCTTATTCTGACTGCACTAATCTACGTGTTCCCACGTGTGTGTGCCTGCACACGTGTGTGTATCCAGCCCTAGGAGGTCGCACCACGTGGGACCACCATGAAGACACAGCACAGCCACAGCTACCTCTTTCCACTTCTACCTCTAAGCTTGGTGACCATTAATCTGCTCGCCATCTGTCATTTCAAGTAAGTCTCATCAATGAAATCACATAGTCTGTACAGCTTTGTTCACTCGGCACGATTTGAGTTCTATCCAAGTTTTTACATGTATCAATAATTTATTTATTTATTTTTTGGTACCTGGGATCGAACTCGGGTCCTTGCGCTTGTGAGGCAGGCAGCGGAACCACTGTGCTAAATCCCTGGCCCCTCAGTAATTAATTTTTATTGAGTAGAATCCCACAGTATAGATGTACCAGAGTGTACTTGCCTCTTAAAGGACAAGGAGTTGTTTCCCATCTGGAGCTTGTTGTGCATCTATCTGGAGGTCCCCCCACAGCCTCGTGCACTCAGAGAGGGGCTTCTGGGAGGCGAGCGAATCATGGGCACTATATACAGCCAAATGCGATGCCAGGAGGGGGGCGTGGCCTGCAGGGGTGCATCTCCTTCCCTCTGTCTCTGCTTCCCGGAAGCCACGAGGTTAGCAGCTGTCCTCCGCCCAGCCCTTCCACCATGTACTTCCTGCCTGGACGCCAGCTGACCATGGCCAAAAACACGAGCCAAAACAACTTCTCCTCCTTGGTGTTGTGGGTGTTGGTTTCTGTGTCTCAGTGGTGAGAAAGTGACCGAGACGAAGCAACCCCAAATAAAACTACTGCAGATATTTGTACAGGTTTTTGTGCAAAGATAAACTTTGGCTCCTCTGGGATAAAGGTCCATCAGTGTACTCGCCAGTCTGTATGGAAACCTCATGCTTAATTTTTAAAGAAAAGGCCAAACTGTTTTCCAAGTAACACACCCTGTCACCACTCTACATTTCCGGCACCAACGTACCAGGGATCCCGGTCATGCACCTTCAGCAGCAGCACTTGGTGTCATCGCGATTTTTCATTTTAGCCACTCTGACAGGCAGAAGGTGACACCTCAGTGTAGTTTTCATTTACATTTCTAATGATAACTGACAGTGAACATCTTTTCATTTATCCTTTTTGCCCTTTGTGAGTTGGACGTGTAGTGTTGATATTTGGAAGTTCATTAAATATTCTAGATACAACTCTTTTCTCACATATGTGGTTTGTAAATATTTCCTCCCAGTCTGTAGCTGACCTTTTTCATCCACTTTATTGAGTCTTTCACAGAGAAAAAAAATCTGATGAGGTTCAGTTGACTGATTTCAAATCTTAAGAAATGTGCTTTTGGTTCCAGGTTCAGAAATTCTTTGCCAAACCTTTAGTTCTGAAGATTTTTCTCATATATTTTTCCTAAAGGTTTATTATTGTATAGTTTACATTTAACTCATGGTTTTATATATAGTATGAAGTTTAGAAGCAAAGTTTTTGCAGTTTGGCCACTGAATATCCAACTGCCCCAGTGCCATTCGTGAAAAGCTATTTTCCTGCATCGCATTGCTCTTCCACATCTGCTAGCTGGATCTGGGTGTTTGTGTGGGCTGCTGCTGAGCTCTGCTGCCGCATTGACTGAGGTGTCTACTGCCGCAGCAACAGCACACTGTCTTGTTGCTACAGAGATCTATAAACTCTAACTCCAGGCAGAATGAGTGCTTCCTCCCACTTCCTTCCTTTTCTTTTCTTTTTTTTTTTTTGGTACCGAGGATCGAACTCGGGTCCTTGCGCTTGCACAGCAGGCGGCGAAACCACTGAGCTATAATCCCCGGCCCCACTTCCTTCCTTTTCAAAATTATTTTAGCTATTCTATGGCCTATGCCTTTCTTTATAAATTTTAGAATAAGCTTGAATATCTACATCTTGTTAAAAAATATCTTGCTGGAATTTTGACCGAAATTACATTAAATCTAAGTATAAATTTGGAGAAAATCAATACCTTTTCTAGGTTGAGGCTTCTAATTTGTGGTATATTTCTCTATTTATGTCTTCTTTGATTTCTTTTACTGTAATTTTGTAATGTTCTGGATATATATTCTGTATTTGTTTGGTTCTGATTTGGAGAAATTTTAAATGGTGTATAATTGAGACACAAATATTACCCATATTTAATATACATTTTTGATGCGTTTGATTTTCACTTATTGATTTTGTACCCTGGAAACTTGCCAGATTTACTTATTAATTCTAGAAGTGTTTGTGTAGACTCCTTGTACTTTTTCTACATAGACAATTATGTTATCAATAAATGGGGACAGATTTATTTCTTTTCCAAATAGTATACCTTTTATTTTTCTTCCCAGTTGCACTGGTTAGACATTTCAGTGCTATGTCAAGTAAGAATGTGGGAGGGATAGCCTTCCTTTGCTCCCAATCTTAGAGGAAAAGGGATTTAGTCATCACTAGTAAGTATGATGTTGGCTATAGATTTTTCACAGCTGTTCTTTATCAAGTTGATGTGATTTGTCCTCTGTTACTTTGATGAGATTTTTCATCATAATGGTCTTTTCAATTACTTTTACTGCATTAAGTGCTATTATTCTGTAATATTTTGTCCCTAACCTGTTAACAAGGTAGAATAATTGGTGTATTTAATTTGCTAATATTTTGCTGACACTTGGGCATCTAGTTTATCAGAGATACTACCTATAGTTTTTTCTTATTATTTTATTTTTTTGTAGTTTATCTTTGTTTAGTACCAGGGTAATATTACTCCCAAAAATGGGCTGGGAGGTAGTCCCTCTTCTATTTTCTACAAAAAGTTATGTAAAATTGGTGTTTAATCTTAAGTGTTTGGGAGAATTTCCAGTAAAATGATGGCCTGGAGACTGCTTTTTAGGAGCCTTTAGATTATAAATTCAATTCTCTAACAATTATA